CGCTGCAAGCAGGCATTTTGGGGCAACACAACGCTACAAGCAGGCGTTTTGGGGCAAAACAACGCTACAAGCAGACATTTTGGGGCAACACAATGCTGCAAGCAGACATTTTGGGGCAACACAACGCTACAAGCAGGCATTTTGTTTATGACTACAGTAATGCCAAATGCTTCGCCAACTCTGATTTTGATTTATCCAATCAGATCTATGCATTTTACAGCAGAAATCGACTCAGCTCAACACGAGCAGCATGCAACATTTTGTTTTGTTTGGTGTTTTGTTTGGTGGTTTACTGAAACAATAATTGGAAGTTTATCAAAGGTACAGCCTGTATAATATTGTATCAATAGGGTTATTTCGTCAAACGGATGGCGCGTGTTGATCCATACTGTGTGACAATTACTGGGGCAGTGCGACTTCTCGTAATAATAATCTGCGGCTACATTGCCTCTAACTTTTGTTGATTCAGTGTGTGTTATGTCTAGATACTACTTGACTCATTTTAATTAAAAATACAATTGTCACTATCTGATTGTCAAACTGCACTAATTTGTGCTATGCCAAGTTCAAATACATTACCCCACAGTAGAATCATACATGGAGGAGTATATGTACATGTATGGTACATTAAGCTCATAACACTGTGTGATTCAGACAATGGTATTGCATCTTTATTTGCATGAAGTATGTATTCCAGAATGCAGGATGCACAATGTTTACCATAAACTAAAGATAAATACCCATTCACGTTTTACCACGTTTTCATGAGTGCGTGAACTTCCATACATCAGTGACAGTCAATTTAGAGCTCATGAGACAATAAGCAAAAAATTGTATCAAAAAAATTGTTCTCTCATATGAATGACTTTGATCCATACTTGAGGGCATAATGGTCTCTATGTCAACTTAACTGTCTATGTCAATTTACCTGTACTATGTAAAAAAAGAAGTTAGGGCTTTGGGTGAGACAATAATAACAGGGGTGCAGCGCCCTGATGCTCATGGCTGGCAAAAAATATACATTTGTATTTCTTGAGACACGCACTTCCTTGCTGTCGTACAACATGAAATCTTTCTCAAATATATTTTTCTCTGTGAAAACTTCCCAGCAACACTAGCTGACAATGTGTCTAGACACCAAATGCACTAAAATTACTCCGATATGGCATTGCCCTGCTTCCTTGCCTATGTGTGCTCCCTGATTAACAATATACAATGTATTAGATACATCCAGAAATGGTGGTACTTTGCATTCATTATCTAAAATATATTTGCTGATATTTAATTTTCGTGGTTTCACATGATAATATTTAATAAATTATACTTTTTTTTTTTTTTCTTCTCAGGTCCAGGTAGCTAAGACGTGATATCAAGATTTCTTGGCTGTTCCTACGAGGTAATCACATTGTCTTGGCAAGTGAAAGGTACCTGTACAACAAGAAAACACATCTTATGATATGGTATCGTATATAGTGATTATTTTTGTTTCTACTATTTAATCCGTTTACAATTTAATCTTTAACTGGTGTTATTTATTTAGCATAGTTGAAACATTGATGAGAATGTTATTGTTATCACCTTGCTTACACAAGTCGTTATGGATCTCCATGTTACTGTAGGTCACCTTACCATCTAAAAAATGTACATATTAAATTTAGGATAATTATGAAGATACACGTGAGCAAAACAATAAACTGTAATGTTAAATATGCTAATTTATGTAAATATTATCCTGATACATATTTATAGATATAGCAGGTTGCATCCACATTTAATATGAATGGTAAATCACCGGTCGTCAGAATGCGACTGATTTTGTGCGTCATGTTGTGAAGGCTGAGTGTACATTTCATTGGGTTTTCGTATCTTGTCATTTGGTATATTTATTATTCTTGCCACTAAAACTATATGTATTTTTTAAATATGACTGGTCAGTTTGCAGTTATCGTTGTTCGAATCTTGTAATGTTTTGCAGGACTTGAAGCCTTGTTTCTAGATTCTAAGACACATTTGAAAGTACACGGTCTCAAAACTGCCAACACTACATGTAGCAATCGGGTCACTGGACGACATCGCATGTATGTTGCATGACCTCAAGTGGAAACGTCAAGCTGCGTCATTTTTTTTTTGTCTATTTCCTGTTTTTGCTCTATGAGCTGAGAACAGCTGTGCTCGCATGAACATAAACTCTCATATTGTTAACAGTGAAATCATTGTAAACATCTCACTTACAAAGAAAAATTACAGCCATATTTGTTGTTGTGTTTTAACCCATAGTTTCTGGATACAGAATGGAATGTTTTATATCCCTTTGATTGACAAATTTGGTCATCTGTCACAATATTTTCCCCGGTAGCTAGGAGAAATTATGCTCATTTGGTTCAAAAGTAGAAAAAATTCATAAAAATGTGGCCCTCGCCCACCAAGTTTTTAAACCACCCACCTACATCTCCACAGACCCTAGATAAGTAAATAGCTTTGAGCAACAGTTGCACTCTCTCTCTCCCCAATTTATGTCCATGTGTGATGGGTAATTTACATATGAAAATACTTTTATTATGATAATTATTTAGCATAACAATAATATTCTTTAGTGCTTGTTTCTTCTTTCTACATCTGAATTGAATTTTAAAAACACAACAAACCAAAATCAGGTAATGTACGGGAAAAGATTATTATTGATTTGGACCAATATTTTTCATTTATATTTCTTTAGTACATGAAAGTTTGTGTATTAATTTAGCAGTAAAAACAGTGTTAGCTAGTTTTTTACAGAATAAAAATACCTGCCAACTTTTTTTCTTGCCATATCTGCAAGCATTGGAGGGGGGGGGCCTTAAATTTATTATGCAGATTTCCATATTTAATGAGTATTAAAATGAAATAATAAACTACTTATTCTACCAGTAAATGTCAATCGTAATTGCCCTCAAATTAAGATAATCTAAATATTTACTTCAATATCTCTACACTTGAATTTGACTGCCCTCTAGATTCTGAAGTTCAAGCCAGAATGTATCTCATAAAGGGGTAAATGGAATGTTGTTTGTGTCAGGAAAAAACTCTAGATATATGTAACTGTATGTCAATATAATTTATATCAAGCATTATATGATTGTGTATTTGTGTGGGTGTACAGGATGTGGGACGACCATTTATAATAATGTCATATCAGTAAATATGAATAATAGGAATAAAAATTTGTTGTTCTGATAATGAGCTGCGCAATCAGCATATTAACACTGTGAGAATGAGAGCATGTTTGTAGAATGCATTTGTTCTGGGTTCCCTTGTTGATGGGAACTTTACGATGTCTTCATTTTGTTTTATTCAGTTATATTTTTTTTTTTTGCGTTTTCATTGAAGAACGATAGTAATTATATTCAGCGCACAGCTGCCACCACAATCATCCACTTTAACTGTCTTGGTAACAGGTTGTGCAAGGTTGACTAAAACGTATCAGGAATATAGTGCGTGCTACCAGTGTGCGTATCAGGTGATTCCATTAAAAAAACAAAAAAACAAGTTGTTTCGTTATTTACTACATTTAAAAAAAAAATATGGTTGATAAATCAGAATTCTTTTATTCATCAAATCCATTCGTAAAATCAGTTGACTCTTTTTTTACTGTATTAAATCAAAGTGCAATCACTCCCTAAATGTGCTGTTCTCCCCCGTTTTGTGAATGGAATGACACTTTTGTATGTCACGGCTGTCCGCTTGTGACATGCCATCGATGCCCTGTGTGTAGTTGAATGGAATTCCATCTCTTGACAGGAACGATGGATTGAAAATGTGACACTGATTCCGATTCACTTTAAGTGACACTTGGGAGAAGAAGAGAGAGAGAAAAAAATACCAAAAATGGAATTAACAAACATCAGGTTGCTGATTTATCTGTTTACAATCTCTGTCACTCTCCTGGACACTGTGGACTGTGTTGGGATGGATTTTGCTGATCATGCTGTCAAACTGCATCGTGGGAAATCGTACGGACAGCCAAGTGCTTCTGAGGAATTCAACAAGTGGCTACCACAGTCTTGCAGAAACTTAGAAACATTGCTCATCGGAAAAAGGACGGTGGTCAAAAAATTAGACCGTGCTATTCGGGAAGTTGAGTTTAACCCGAAACTTTCACATCAGGAAAAAGCTTTTCAGATGCACATTTTTCATATCTTCCAGAAGGAGCTGAATGAAACTGAGATTTCTATTTTTCAGTCTGTAAATAGCCTAAAAAGGGCTTTAAAAGGAGACTACAAAGATATTATAAATATGAAGGAGAGTACTAGCCAGCGATTAGACGCACTCAGAGAGGCTACTCTCAAGGAGGAACAGGAATACAATGACTTATTAGTTGCCGAGAAACATCAACTAGAGTATTATGAACACTTACGACATTTAAATATGAGTAATACAAACCGAACTAAAGTGGAAGCCATGTTGGATTCTGTGTTAGACGAGGTAGCGCAGGCGGCTGATATCTTAGAAAACCAACTCATGGAGAATGTGTTTGACGAATCAAGAAGGGTAAGTAGGAAAGGTACATGTAATATACTGTTTGTGTCGCTTGGTTCACCCACTGAGGTCATGGGTCAAAAATTAGTGAATGTTGTTATTTACATCCATTATTTCAATACATCTATTAAACAACTTCCATTCCAACATTGGGACAAGAATGATTGACTAGGTTATATATTTTGACAACAAACTGATGTAATGACAAAATTACAACACACAGCCACATAAAATCTGATACCCTTGATACCCTTGTGTACATGTACATGACTTTGACAAATCGAAATCGATATAATCATATAACACACTATCTAGGGATCTCTACTCATGCACAAGATTGTGCATTACTTTGACAACACAAATGAGCTCAAAGGATTGTCATAACTATGAAGTTGATCGAATCAGTTATTCACCGTCAGTCAAAGTACAAAATGAGTACTGTTAATTCGGGTCCCACCTAACAAATGGACAGTTGACTTACTGGTGGCCATTTTTGTCCTCCCAAAAAGAGCTCTTAATGATTTTGGTGAAAGTTACCACATTGAATCTTGACTTCAAGCATCTTAATCTCAGTGATATCTCAAAATATCAGACACACTACAATTATCTGATTATGTCATTTTAGCCTAAAAACTGTATGCACAAGCATGAGGGCCAATAAATGCAGTCAAAGATCAATTTTAAACATTACCATGATTGTTTGATTGAAAGTGAAATCATCGTAAACAGTGTCAGTCATCTGAAGAAAGAATTATTTGGGTGGTTATGAGGGATAGATGCATGTTTCATTTAAACTTGCAAGTGAGCCTTTTTCAAAATTTCTGTTTTGGAGCCATACATGGCAGAACTGATCATGCGCAAACATCACATATACATGTACATGCATGCCATCATTTTGTGATCTTATTCAAGATGACAGCGACTAAAGTGCTAAAAATGAATTTGTATTAAGCATTTCTAAAATTACAGAACCACGTTCAGGGGGGGAGTGCCATTCAAAATTGGTACAGACGTTATGGGATGTTGAAACATTTTATATAACAAATTAAATTCAAAATTCATGTGACTGGTGGCCATTTTGTTTTCTAAAATTTTGTTCCGGTGCCATATCTCTAACATGCAGGGGCTAATTGTACACAACAGATTCGAGATATGTGGCTACCGGTACATCACATTGTCATTGTTATTATCACAGTACAGTAGAATGTATAATGTAACTTTCATACTTCATTTTACTTTTTCACAACTAGGAATGTATCACGTCAATAATTCTATTTTTTCGATATTATTTTATGTAGCGACTGGTATCTAATGATTTCAGAGATGATTTCTTGAGAAATATAAAACTCACATGTTCCACAATGTCACACTGTATGGCCAGTGACGAAATGTCACACCGTCTTTGGTATTTGGAAGACTTGTACAGTCCTACTGTATGGAACCGTCGTTAGGTTTACTCTACTTTGGCCACACCATAAACTACATCATTCAGTGTTAATCAAGCCAATTAGCTTGAATGTAATTGGTCTGGAGACTCAGTTAGAGCCTCCAGTCTGTTTCTCTGATGATAGTTTAACTTCGACTTTTAAATTGCAGTCAAAAAGTGCCGTTATTGAAGCTGTCCTACGAATTAATGAAGATGGAATAAAACAGAACAGAACACTGAAATCACTAAATGAAGCTGACCAAGGAATGAGTGTACTTATAGATGCTAATAATAATCAGTATGTA